TTTTGTTCCCCTTCACCCATAGATGCTATATGCCAAATTTGGTTGAAATTGGTTTAGTGGTTTCAAAGAAGAAGCTAACAAGAGGCCCAAGGGCCTTGAATCGCTCTTCTGATAAATTGTACAATCTATCACTTCTATTTGAAGCCTCTTACTCTAAGTATCCTAAGATGCATGAACTGACAAAGTTTAATGATTCTTTGCCAATTAGGACTGAAGATATTTCAGTATACCTATAAAATACCGTAAGTAGGACATGGTGACCTACTTTTTGATTTGAAACTTTCTGAGGACTCAAGATGCATTAATTGACAAAGATTGATGGTTCTAAGCCAATAAGTACCTCAAATATTAAAGTAGGTCACTGTGACCTTCTTATGGTTGACATTCTCCGAGGGCCAAGAGATGCATCAACTATCAGAGTTTGATGATTCTAAGCCAATAAGTACCAGAGATACTTGGACACAAAGCAATAAAATGTAAAAAAAAAATAGGTCACCGTGACTTACTTTTTGGTCGACATCTTCCAAGGACCAAAGATGCATCAACTGACAATGTTTGATGATTCTAAGCCAATAAGTATCTGAGATAATTAAAAGTAGGTCACTGTGACCTACTTTTTGGTCGACATTCTCCAAAAACCCAATATGTCTCAACTGACGTTTGATAATTCAAGCCAAATAGTACCTAAGATATAACCATAAAATGTCTAAACTACGGAAGGTCACGGTGGCCTACTTTTTGGCCAACATTCCTAAAAACCAAGTTGCATCAAATGACAAAGTTTTTATAATTCTAAGCCAAAAAGTACCTAAGATACTTAAATATAACCATAAAATGTCAAAAGTAGGTCACCATGCTTTTTGGTCAACATTTTCAGAGGATGCATCAACTGACAATGTTTCATGATTCTAAGCCAATAAGTACCTGAGATAACAAAAGTGTTTCATGATTCTCCGAAAACCCAAGATGCCTCAACTGACAAAGTTTGACAATTCTAGGCCAATTAGTACCCAGGATACTTATGTATAGCCATAAAATTCAAAAGTAGGTCACAGTGACCTACCTTTTGGTTGACATGTTCCAAAACCAAAGATGCATTAACTGACAAAGTTTGATGATTCTAAGCCAAAAAGTACCTGAGATACTGAAATATAGCCATAAAATGTCAAAACTAGGTCACAGTGACCTACTTTTTGGTCTACATTCTCCAACAAGTTGTATCAACAGACAAAGTTTGATGATTATAAGCCAAAAAGTACCCAAGATACTTAAATATAGCCAAAAAAATGTCAAAAGTAGGTCACCGTGCCTGCAAAATTCAAAAATAGGTCACAGTGACCTACTTTTTCATAAATATGTTTTGAGCCCCAAGATGCATCAACTTACAAGATTTGGTGAATCTAAACCTCTCATTATCTGAAATAATGGGATTAAATGTTTTAGAAAAGATGAGCCATAAAATTCAACAAGAGGCCCAAGGGCCTTGAATCGCTCTTCTGATAAATTGTACAACCTATCACTTCTATTTGAAGCCTCTAACCCTACCCGCACCTCAGATCTCCAGATTTCCGGATGATTCCGCATTTTTTCCTCATTTTAATATGGAAAAAATGTGGAAAAAAATACGGAGAAAATTAACAATATGGAAAAGCAGAAAATATACGGAAATAATACGGAAAATAAACGGAAATAATACGGAGAATTGGACTTAGTCTATTTTTCATCTGGAAAAATATTGAACTCTTAACTTAGAATATTTTTCATCCGGAAAAAATACGGAGCTCTGGACTTAGAATTTTTTCATCAAGAACAAGATGTGTTTGTGAGACACAGTAGCACCTGGCGGCAACATTAAGTTCTAAAAAGCAATTTTTAGCAAATGGGTCTCAGTCAAGGTCACACAATCATTGTTCTTGGTGTCATATGAAAGCACTTTTTAGTGTAGTATGCATACCAAATATTAAGTCTCTATCATCTATGGTTCAAAAGTTATGGCGAAAATTTGAAAAAGCTATATTTAGCACATAGGTCACAGTCAAGGTCACAAGGTCATTGATCTTGGTGTCAGTTGAAGGTGCCTAATTAGTGGAGTATGCATACCAAATATGAAGTCTCTATCTCTCACGGTTTTAAAGTTATGGCGAAAGTTGAAAAAGCTATTTTTAGCATATAGGTCACAGTCAAGGTCACTGACCTTGGTGTCAGTTGAAAGTGCCTAATTAGCAGAGTATGCATACCAAATTTAATATGAAGTCTCTATCTCTCACCGTTCAGAATTTATGGCGAAAGTTCCAAAAAGCTATTTTTAGCATAAAGGTCACAGTCATGGTCACAAGGTCATTGACCTTGGTGTCAGTTGAAAGTGCCTAATTAGTGGAGTATGCATACCAAATATGAAGTCTCTATCTCTCACGGTTCAGAAGTTATGGCGAAAGTTCGAAAAAGCTATTTTTAGCATAAAGGTCACAATCAAGGTCATAAGGTCATTGACCTTGGTGTCAGTTGAAAGTGTTTTTGTAGTGAAGTATCCATACCAAATATGAAGTCTCTAAGTCTCACGGTTCAAAAGTTATGGCGAAGGTTAAAGTTGACAACAGACAAACAAACAGACAGACATACAGCTAAACAGACAGACAGGACAAAAACAATATGCACCCCGAAAAAATTTGGGTGCATAAAAACTGTCTTGGAGTTAACAGCAGTTCTCTGTTTCTCCTGAATGTTATGAACAATTTGATCGGGATCGGAAGAATGTTTCAAAAAGTCGGGCTCAGTGATCAATTAATTTAAACAACAGACCGCCAAAATTTAACCTTGGCCTCCATGTTGCAACGTCTGCTCTGTCTAAAGGAGGAAGTTTGTTGACCAGACAGCCTGAGATCGTATTGCTGTATCAACCAAAAGATGCAGATACACGTATTTCATATGCGGTACGTCAGTCATATTTTTTTTAACATGTGTGTCACTGTGATGATGAAAATAAATACTCTAGGCGGCTAGGGCCTAGGACTGAGCTACCAGGCTATGCCCATGATTCAAACTTTTCAGCCAATATGCCCATGATTCAAATCTTTCAATCAGCTCATAGAATTTTATTATGGTTAACCACAATTAAAGGTGTTAATTTTGGGGAGCCATGGGCTGTAATCTCTAGCAATGATTTACCATACATTTTTTTTTTGGTAGCGTCTGTGCATGAGGAGATTTCTGAAAAAGAATAAGTGCTTGTTCAACTTACTGCGATTTTAACGGGCTTAAAGCTTGGTCCATGGATGGTTATGTTTGAGGTATATATATTCTTTTTTTTCTTTTTTTATTGCTTGTTTAATAATTAAAAACAGTCAACTATGATTGTCATTATTATAAATAATATTTTAAACAAATTGATATTAAATTGAAGAACCCAAACTTGTGTTTATAAAAAGATTTTAAAAGGAATAAAAGCAATGAATTTAAATTTTATTAATATTGCACCATTATAATTTAAGTACTTTTTTTTTAATTGATAGGATTTGCCAATTCGACCGCAAGTGCTGCTGCAAGAAATTAAACATGCAGAGACCTTACAAATTACAAAGAAGTCTGAAGAAAATTTTTATTGGACAGATGGGTGTAAAGCACAGACCTGAGATATAAATTGAATTGTGAGAAATATGAATCAGGGATGCAGGTAGAAAATGGCAAATGTGATCCAGATTGATAAAAAATGTCTAAAAAATTTTCTTGTTTTGTAAATATTCAATGCTATGTCAATTGTTATTTTTTCCCCAATATCTAATAGTGTTGAACATTTCACTCCCACTTTTGCTTAAATAGAATGAATAAATTTCCATTTATTTAATATGAATATTAAAAAATGCCACATTTTTTCCATGATGAACTTGTGGCTTAAATAAGAGTTCCAGTTTTTTTCCATACATGCTCCTATTTGTTTGTCAAAGATATAAGATCCAATACATTGCTCATGAACATAATGTGTAATTTTGTTCATTCATTTATATGTTTTTTTCTCATAATGATATAATAAATTGTATATAATTTTGCACATTGTTGATGGTTTTGTAAATATTTATGTATGTATGCATCATGTAGCGGTTTTATTAGCCATTTTATAACCATGTGATTAACTCCGTATTTTCTCCAGATTTCCGTATTTCCGCATTTTATCAACCAAGTAAATACCTCCATATTTTGTATATATGGAAATGCGGAAATCTGGAGAGAATACGGAAAAAGAGTCCAAATACTCCCATCCACATTTTCTCCATATTTTGAATACGGAGAAAATCTGGAAATTTGAATCTACGAAAATCTGGAATGAATGCGGAAAATTAGTCCAAATACTCCCGTCCGCATTTTTTCCTTATTTTGAATAAGGAAAAAATGTGGAGATCTGAGGTGCGGGCTGACAAAGTTTGATGATTCTTAGCCAATTATAACTGAAGATATTTTAATAAAGCTATAAAAAAAACCATAAGTAGGTCACAATGACCTACTTTAAGATTGAAGTTTTCTGAGGACTCAAGATGCATTAATAGACAAAGATTGAAGATTCTAAGCCAATAAGTATGTGAGATAGTCAAAAGTAAGTCACTTTGACCTACTTTTTCATCTACATTCTTGGAAAAACCAAAATGCATCAACTGACAAAGTTTGATTATTCCAAGCCAATAAGTACTGGAGATACTTAATTATAGCCATAAAATGTTAAAAGTAGGTCAATGTGACCTAATTTTTAGTAGGCGATTTTCGAAAGCCCAAAATACATCAACTGACAAAGTTTGATGATTCTCAGCCAATATGTATTCGAGATATTCAAAAGTAGGTCACCATGACCTACTTTTTGGTCATCACTCTCCGAAAACCCAAGATGCATCAACCCATAAAGTTTGATGATTCTAAGCTTATAAATACCTAAGATACTTAAATATAGCCATAAAATGTCAAAAGTAGGTCACCATGACCTACTTTTTTGGTCGTCACTCTCCGAAAACCCAAGATGCATCAACTCACAAAGTTTGATGATTCTAAGCTTATAAATACCTAAGATACTTAAATAAAGCTATAAAATGTCAAAAGTAGGTCACCGTGACCTACTTTTTGGTCGTCACTCTCCAAAAACCCAAGATGCATCAACTCACAAAGTTAGATGATTCTTAGCCAATAAATACTGAAGATACTTAAATAAAGCCATAAAATGTCAAAAGAAGGTCACCGTGACCTACATTTTAGTCAACAATTTTCAAAGTCCCAAGATGCATCTGCTGACCAAGTTTGATGATCGTAGGTCTTAAGGTAATCAAAATATGCCTTTTAAACAATATGAAAACATATGCCTGCAAAATTCAAAAAGTAGGCCACAGTCACCCACTTTTTCATAAATATGTTTTAAGGTCCCAAGATGCAGCAATTTACAAGATTTGATGATTCTAACCCTCTCAGTGTCTGCAATAATGGGATTAAATTTTCAAAAAGGATAAGTCATAAAGTTCAAAAAGTAGGTCAAGGTGACCTACTTTTAAGTTGACGTTGTTCAAGGACCCAAGACGCATCAACTAACAAAGTTTGATGATCATAGGCCTTAAAGTGTCCAAAATATGCCTTCAAATCAATTTGAAAACAAATGCCCGCAAAATTTAAAAAGTAGGTCACTGTGACCTACTTTTGATTTAACATGATGTGAAGTCTTAAGATGCATCAACTTACAAGATTTGATGATCCTAGTCTTTATAGTAAGCAAAATATAAACGTTTTTATCAATTGTAAATTTAGGTCAACTTTGAAGTGACCTTGAAACCACGCCCTTTGCCCCAGGGTCATGCCTTGAACAATTTTTAATCTTCAACATATTCTGATCCTTGTGTGTAAGTTTGGTGAAAATCTGCCTGGTGGTTCTGGAGAAGAAGATTTTTTAGCAACCAGTACTTTTGGTTTTGTTTTCCTGATTATCTCCCCTTGTTTAAGGGTCCCAACCCTTATTTTAGTATAAATGGTAGCCCTTGGGCCAAGGATACCCTGTGACAAATTTGACACTGATTGGCCAAGGCGTTCTTGAGTTATGGCCCATTTTCTAAAAAGTTAACGCACACCGCACACCGCACGACGCACAAATGGCCATAGCATTAGCTCTTTGAGCCTTTGGCTCAGAAGAGCTAAAAAGTAGGTCACGGTGACCTACTTTTAAGTTGACCTTGTTTAAGGACTCAAGATGCATCAACTGACAACGTTTGACGATCATAGGCCTTAACGTGTCCAAAATATGCCTCCAAATCAATTTGGAAACAAAAGCCCATAAAATTTAAAAAGTAGGTCACGGTGACCTACTTTTGTGTTAACACGATGTGAAGTCCTAAGATGCATCAACTTACAAGATTTGATGATCCTAGTCTTTATAGTAAGCAAAATATAAACGTTTTATTAAATGTAAATTTTGGTTAACTTTGAAGTGACCTTGAGACCACATCCTTTGCCCCAGGGTCATGCCTTGAACAATTTTTAATCTTCAACATATCCTGAACCTTGTTTGTAAGTTTGGTGAAAATCTGCCTGGTGGTTCTGGAGAAGAAGATTTTTTAGCAACTAGTACTTTTGGTTCTATTTTCCTGATTATCTCCGCTTGTTTAAGGGTCCAAACCCTAGTTTTAGTATAAATGGTAGCCCTTGGGCAAAGGATACCCTGTGACAAATGATTGGCCAAGGGGTTCTTGAGTTATGGCCCATATTCTAATAAATTGCCACGCCACAGCATGATACGCCCGTCAAAAAATTACACAATTATCTTTAACAGTTTAGAGTGCAAGAAAATCATGTCAACCTTGATTCTAAGATTTCAATGATTTTTCCATTTTTTTAAAAAAATATTTCTTTATCCATCCCCTGTGCTGTAGGCATAATTATAACAAATATTACATAACTGATAGATTTCTATACTATTTGTGTTAGACTTTGTCAAATGCCGGCCATCATAATAAACAATATCAAATTAGTCTTAACAACTTAATCTATGCCAAATCAATTTTGAAAAGAAAGGCTGGCCATCAAATGATATATGCTATAAACTGACCAGCAGTTCTTCTGTCTAATCCCCAAAGGATACAGATAAGGCAGCGCTTGATCAGATAGCCTTCCTACATTGAACTCATTAATTAATTTTTGACTGGATGCTTGTCTACTCATTACTCCCTTAATATTAATTGATCTGCACTTTTTATCCTAAAACACTTTTAAAACATATAAAATACTCCATGATTTCTTTTTAGATGTAATGCCAGACAAGTTTTATATTTAATACATATGGACAAGTAGGCATGCTGATTCAACACCACTCCAAAAAATTAGTTTTTAATTAATTAATATTATATAATATCAGATTATTAGTTTATTATGCAATATCAAATAAGTTTTAATTACTTTTCATAAAATTCATTTTAAAACTTAGGCTAGCCAACAAGAGCTATTTTTAATCGGCTGTCCATTTGCCCAATACCCGAGGGATATAGATAACAGCAATGCTCTACTAGTTACCTCCTCACACTAAACTCATTAATTTCTCTCTAATTTGACATGCAACTTTCTGCTATCAAAATTCTTCTTAGTGCTTGATAATTATGCCCATGGGACAAACTGAATTCCTCTCATTAACATTGAAATTTGTTTAAGATTGCTGTAAAGTATATGATAAAAAAAATAAGTTTTTACTTGATTTAATACTTTTTAATAAGGATACAACTCTAGTTTTTACATTTTTAGGATTATGAAATTTAAAATTTAAAAAATTTAATTTTTTTAAAAATTTCACCAAAATTAAAGGTCACAGTGACCTTGAAATAGGTCGCGACACACCTTCTACCTAAGATGTATACTTTTGCCAAGTTTGATAGCTCTAGGTCTAATATTTTTTCTAGTTATGAGCCGGACAGCATTTTTCCATATTTGGCCATAGCATATTTACTAAAGGTCAGCGACCTACTTTTTGTGCGCGAACACACCGTCTACCCAAGAATTAGTTGACAAAGTTTGATAATCCTAGGCCTAATAGTATTGAAGTTATGAGCCGGACACGATTGGACAGACGGATCGGACGGACATGAAGCCTATAACATAATACGTCCGTCTTAAGACGGGCGTATAAAAAGTTAAACGCACACCGCACACTGCACGACGCACACCGCACATCGCACAAATGGCCATAGCATTAGCTCTTTGAGCCTTTGGCTCAGAAGAGCTAAAAATGTTCAATTGTTAACACACAACGACGGACGAAAACAGATAGCAATAGGTCACCTGAGTTTACTCAGGTGACCTAAAAAATGGACAAACAGAATTATGTATCTTAGTGTAGTCTACTTGTGTGCCAAGTTATATTGAAATCAGACCAAAACTGTAGGAGCCGAGGGATAGCATTTTGAAAAGTATTTCATAGAAATTTCTATTTTTTGTAACCATGGCAACACCATTCATTGAAATCAAAAACAATATGAAAAATTATGAATCTTAAAGTAATCTACTTGTGTGCCAAGTTATATTGAAATCAGACCAAAACTGTATGAGGAGTAGCATTTTGAAAAATTGTTTACAGACAGACAGACAGTCATAAAGCTAGACAGACAGACAGACAGATGGACACATTTCTATCGCATAAGCTCTTTTGGGTCTGACCAGTAGAGCTAAAAAATACAGCAATGGGTATTGTGAATATATCGGATACACCAGTTAACCGTTAATATCACACCGCACTAGTTTCAAGATGAAGTCAAAAGCATCAAATATTTACAGAGGGAGACAGAAACATCAGAAAAAATGTGATCACTTGAACTTTAAGCTCAGTTGAGCTCATTAAAAAATTAATGAAGTAGAGAAAATACCTGTGGAATCCATTTTGGAGATACAAAACTTGTAACTTCAATTACAGGAAGCTGTGCTTCAGATAATTTGTTGATAAATTCAACTTTTGTCTCTGTAGGTACAAATTTTGTCAAATAAAGATTTTGACAATAAGATTATATTAAAGTAATGACAATAAATTTTCCACAATAATGTAAA